AATTCATTCAAAATATTAATTATATCGAATAATGAATTATTTTCATACACATACATCTTCGAAATAATAATATTATTATTTAAAAGATATTTGTGTGAGTCTATGTAATAATATTGTCGCAAAGTGTGTTATTCTCTTGGAGAACATCTGTTATAATCGAATAATAAAGGCTAATCGGTCCTTTTATCTTGCAATAATGTCGATACGTTTATTTCTCCTCGATTTTGGATAAGAAACGTCGTGTACTTCTGATTTCGTCTGATACAATGTTGTATTCACCGACACAATTATTTCAAATAATTACAAAATGAACTACTGCGTTATTTTACATAATATTTCAAATAACGTTATTTCAAAAGTGATTACACGTATGAAAATAATTATGAAATAAAATAACATGTTATTTGAAATAATAATGAAATTAATTCAAGTAGTAGGTATTATTTCAAGAATGCCCAGGTCTGTATTCGTCATTGGAAGAATAATTTCACAGTTATTTTAAACAATTATTTGAAATAATTATGAAATTAAATAACGTGTAATTTGAAATACTATTTCAAAAGTGCCCAGGTTTATTCCAACTCCACTTGTACCGATTTATGTACATGTTTTATATGTTTGTATGTATGTAACTACACAAGCACAGAAAATGTCTATGAAGACATAAGTGCGAGCACACCCGCGTATCTACTAGGCTAAAATGTAATCTATGATTGTGAATACATTTTGACTGATTAATGATTAATAAATACTCGGGCGTGATTAGCTCTGAAAGATTACCGTAATCATGGCCCAATTCTGGGTATCTATGAATCAGAATTATTCGAGGTCTCACTGCATTGCTATTAGATAATTACATAGTGCTTGGGTATCAGGTCATATTCGTCTATAATTAATAAACGAAGATAGCTGTAACAAGCCTCTGTTCTGTACAATTATTACGTTCGTGGTCTTTCTTATTACATCACCAATCTATTCTACAGATTCTACAGATGTAATTTATATTTATAGAAAAGGTGACGAAGCAGATCTTCATTGCTTCGAAATTCTAAATGTTCCCTTTAAACAAGTATTTTTCATGTTTCATCATTTTGTTTCTGTTATTTTCACTAGTATTTCCTCGTTTATATTTTTCGTTTTTGATTAAATAAAGATCGTTCTTCCAAGCTTGCATGAATAAATAAAATAAAGATTAAAAGTATCGATTGAGTGTTTATACGATCCCATATTCCATTAGTCGTTTATATTTGAAACATTGATATCCGAATATACAGGTTACCAACCCCTACGTTATATGGTGGCAAATCCCAACCAATAGTGCAACAACCTTTTTGAAACATTCTGATCGGTGTGTTTGAATTCCATCCAGGGAGATTCACTCCAGTTCTCTAGTCTGGTCTAGTCACTCGACCCTCTCCAACCATATGTGCTTTTCCACTCAATTCATCCCTTTAACCCCGATACGTCAAACGTCACCACGTTGCGTGCTGTTCGACTATACGATACTTTTTACTTTCCGAATCGTTTTTCATGTAACAACAGAGAGATCTTTCAAATTTTAATAAAACATAGTACAAGAGCTTCTCGTTGCACGTTTCACAAAACTATTCCATTCTTTTCTTTCTTCTGATAACTTTCGATTAGAAATTAATACAGTTATTACGTGTGCCTTGGGAATGGGGTTGCAAATTGATGTAAGAGATTTTTATCATAAAAGAAAATATCGATCTTTGTGTTAAAAATACGAGTATTTTCTTTTCATTGTTCACAAACTACGCTATTCTTTTTTTCCCTTCAGACAATTTCCGATTAAAACAAAGGACATTATATTTCTCGTCTTAAACGAAAATATCATTTCTTCTTAAATCAAATATTTTCATTGTTCACAAACTATACTATTCTTGTTTTCCCTTTTCACAATCTTCAATTGAAACATAAAGTCAATGTAATAAGTAGACTGCGGATCTTTATGTATTTATAGGAAGTTTGAATGTGTAAGAAGCTACAAAATGCAAACAATATACAAGAATATAAAAAAGATTGAAAGTAAAGTTCATATTATAATATTTGCAGAATAGAATAAATTTCTATTTAGATCCAGTTTGTGAAGGTTCTTTTGCAAAGATTTTATTTTGCATAAAGATCCCCAGTTTAATAATAAGTATTTGTACAGGGACCAATTCAAAACGAACCTACATATTTTTAGAGTAGATTTTGCGTAAATTAAAATTTATTACTTTGAACGTTAACCTCTTATTTCTTTTCTTATTAATTTTATTTTAAATTAGTTACTGTACTTCTTACACTGACTGTAGATGCAATCGTAGCGCTTGTGAATGGAGTTGCAAATTGATACGAAAGGACATATTTCTCGTCTTAAATGAAAATACATCATTTCTTCTTAAATAAAATATTTTCTTTCCACTGTTACCTACCAAATCTACTTTCTTTGTACTTAAAGTTGCTGTTTCATTCTCGTGGCAAGTCTCTCGTACAATAGGAATAGCAATTCGTACGTGACATAAGCCTGTTAAGGTTTTAAATATGTAGATCACGAGCACCGTATAATATTCGTTCCTGTCGCGAAACCGAGCAACGTCGTGAAATGGATCGACAGATTGCTCGTATGATGGGCAGATAGCGAGTGTTTACATGCCTAATGTAACGCTCTACCGCGTTATATTGACCGGCTACTCAAGTTTTCAGGTCGGTTGTCAAACGATAACATCCGAGGGAAATTTCGTGTCGCGCTGTGAAAACGCATATCATCTGCCATCGCCCACTCAGACGTTTTCTCCGCGCATCCACGCAATTTCGCAAAAAAAATTGAGAGATTAACCCTTTTCGTTGAGCATTTTCGTTAGGGCAACGACTCCAAACGATTTTGTTAGTATTCGATGAAATTCCTACGTAGCTAGGATGATTTTATAGCATACGATGATTTTCTACGGAAATTAATGTGCGATACAAATATTTTCTAAAAGAGGAATTTAACTGACTCTCAAAAGAAGCTCTGAAAATAATTAAATACTTAAATAATTCTTTAAAATTCTTGAATGACATTTTATCCAATAACTACAATTCATACGAGAATATCATTGCATACTAAAATAATTTTGTTACAAAGACTGAAGGAAAATATCCTTGTTAGGGAATTTTTGTTTTGTTGTTATTTAAAGCGGACTTTCAAGGACCACCGTTGCCTTTTCTGTTCTTCTTTTGTTCTTATTTCTTATGTTCTTTGGATAATGTGTACATTTCTGATATGTAATATTTAGTAAAACTACTATTAAAATATTAAAGATTAAAAGGTGTTTGGTGATTAATAAAAACAAGTTTAATTTAGAAGGAAACCATTTCCGTTGTAAATAAATATAGGTGAAAAACCACATTCGGAGTTCAAGTTTTAAGTCTTTCACTAGAATATTTTTTTTACATAGAAGAATTTATGTAATGTTAATTTATAACTTTAAGAAACTTTTGGGTACATATATTACAAAGTACATTTGGTAATTTTTTCAATTCATTTACACAAAAATCTTTTAGATATATTAGCTGTTGTCAATTAGCCAGTTTCTCTGAGTCTGCTATCAGTGGAAATTTTAAAGGTCGCAATTTTTATTCAAAATGAATGAAATTTTATTTTCGGGAAGTCGAGAATGAATTTTTAAGAAGTCTTTAAAGAAAAAGTTCTCAATTTTCACGATTATTTCAATTTTTTTAGTTCATATTCGAGGTATTTAAATGAAGTACAATATGTGCTCCACTTTCCAACTTTGTGCTTAATCCTTAGAAGCCTGATTTTTCAAATTAAATTTTAAAAAATGTCAATGTATTGTATTTTATTTGTATTTGACATGTAATATATTTGAACAATTTTTACAGCTAACCTTTATTTTTTCAACTTTTGTTCAAAAGAATATTAAACAATGATAACATACGTACAGCCAAATATTAAAAACAAGCCAATAGCAAGTGTACAATTCGATTTAAAAATCCGGTATCAAATTTGAAGCTTAGAGCATTTAAGGGTTAAATCAGTATGTTTAGGATGATCGGATCTCGTTACCCGATCAGTTCTCCAATATTTAAAAAATTTGGAGGAGATTACCACTTTCTTAAATTTGTTAGTGGAACGTTAATTTAAATGAACTTATACTTCTATAACCCTTTGCTTACTTCGCGAGTATAAAGGTACCTAATCTGTCTTCAATTGAACTTATAGAAATAAATAAAAGAACTAGCCGATACGTTTCAAGTAACATATTTTTATCTAAAAATAATTGACATGAAAATTCATAATTTACTCAGCAAGGAACACCTTTTACAAATATCGAAAAGACACTAGATGAATTCTCTCTAAAAAAGATACCCCATTAAATACTTGGACTCCGGACGTGGTGTCCCCCGTTAAAGAAAATAAATTCTTCAATGTTCAGGAGGTACTTTGTACACCTCGGAAGGATCGTTTCCAACGTACCTCGTACGTTTCCCGTAAAGAAATGACGAAGGTACCGGTCGTTTTGCGGCGGTCAAGATGGTGTAACCTCTTAAGTAGAACGGGAACGTCGAGCGGGGGGTTGGGATCGAAAGTGCGACTCCGCACAGCGAATAGACGCAACCACGGTAGAAAAGGACGAGTCGGTTACCACGGTAAATTTCACGCTTGGAAAAAAGAGCCGTGGCCGCGTTGTCCAGCCAATCA